ATATATATATATATATTACATTTAATTGAATTGTCAATGTTTAGTTTGGGTTTGACAAGTTTGCATTCACACTCCTACCACTTAGTACCACAGAGTAGCAGATGCTGGCTCTTTTAACAAATAAACACAGGGGTGCATGTTGTTTTTCACTCGTGTATTGTGTCCTACCATTAAGGCCTACTTCCTGTGCTTTGCATCTTAGCTGAAGTTGACTTGTGATATTTCTGTAACTTTGCCTTTATTGACTCTGAATAATGAGGAGAGTTGTCCTGGAAACTGAGATCATCTTTTCTTTTCCTGCAGTAAAGAGAGGAAACGCGTAGCTTTGTTTGGTGCATCTTTAGTGCGTGCTAGTTGACAGCAACAACGCCAAACTTTGGGACTGTTTCACAATGCAATGTCTCTCCTCGCTTTGTAATATTACAGAATTGTTGGGCCAGTGTTTCTACCCGGAGGACACGGAGGAGAATGCTCTACATATTAAAGAATGTTGTTTAATTATCTACATTGCTTTGCATCTTTAATAAGCTACAGTTGACGTTGAACGGTAGGACTTTGTTCCTGAAGTTGTGTCTGCTTGTCGTCTCTTCTCCCAGGATGGAATCAGTAAAGCAGGATGGCGTCCTGGCTTTCAGGACGCAGCGGCACTACAGTACGAGTGGTGTCGTACTGTCGCGCTCGGGAGTTGTCCTTTCGATTGAGTCGTGTTAATGAGCTGAACTTCACAGCTATAATTGGGTTTTACGGTGTAATTGATCTTTAAGGACAAAGCCTTTTGAAAGCTTTAATTTTCTCTGAGATTAAATCATTGGGATGTAAATGTCATGTGTGGTACCCTTTAGCTCGATGCTGAGAGCTATTTGTTTTCATTAGGAACGGTTTGAAAAGTTGCCCTTTTTCTTGATTTACTGTGTCACATACTGAAGTATCTATTAGTTTTTGTGTTTTTTTTTGGGCTATCCTTTCTTACACTGCAACAGACATAGAGATACGTTAGTGCATGAACACGGTACATCTTCAGTATGTATGCTAAATGTGTCAGTGAGGTTTCTTTCTTTAAACTAAACTGACTAGTTGAATTCTATTGGGGAAAAAAATAAGATTTTAAGAGTGCGCCAAGATATGGACGTCATCAGTGCTAAAAACATTGTTTCCCCCCCATTTTCCATTTATAATGGAATGAACCAATCGCAGTTTACCACTATGGCTGATGGCTACTGCAGCACATTAATGCTACATTACTGTGTCTTTTTGGTTAACATGCTTTGTTTTCCTAACTGCAATAGTTTAAGTCTCATGTATGGCCTTCACTGTAAAAGTAAAAGGTAAGGTGTGTGTGACAGCAACACATTCAACACGCTGTCTTTGTGTTTCTGAACCACTCCTATGGCTCACACTCCAGACTCCCCTCTCCCCTTCAGGTCTGCTTCTTAATCTCTAATGATGATTAATGTGGGCTGTGTGCTTATTGGCAGCACTGTGTTATCGGCATTCTGACAGGGTTGTTAAGATGGATGCAGGAGTGCGTATGCGTGTCTGAGCGTGGGAGCCCCCCCCCCAACCACACACTTTTTGCAGCTTAGCCTCGAAATCAATTGATTTGTGTGTGGTCGATGGAGAAAATGGATTTGTGGGAAAAAAGCTGAAAAACACCTAAATTAAACGTAGTGTCGGGTTTTCTGTGTTCGTTGAATCTGTTAAGGGTGCAGAGAACAATAGAAAGCAAATGTGATTTATTCACCTTGTCATGCATGAAAATGAGCGCGTTTTACTTTTGCGTGTGTGCAGGAGATGGTTCGTCGGGGGGAGATCCTAGATGAAGGCATAGAGGATGAGTTCTACCTTCGCCGCCTGGACGCCGGACTGTTCGTCCTTCAGTTGATCTGCTATATTATGGTGGAGATCAGCAACTCTGGGATATCACAGGTACACACACGCACACAGATTACTTATTGTGAAGACATCTGATCGAACAAGCTATAAAAGTAGGCAGGAGTTGGATGTTGTTGTGTTTTGTGAGCGCTGGGTTTCACTGGGCTCCACTTTAATGAACACCACGACACTTTGTGCTGCTGATTCAAAAGCTGCAGCAAATCCCAACTCACTCCATTCGTTTCAGGGAATAATCATGAGCTAGTGCAACCTTGTTAAATTCCTTGGTAGTAAACCGTTCAGGTGTTTGAGAACAGGCGTTTCAGACATCATAGCCCCGCATAGCTTGTAAACGTCGATACCTTTTTAATAAGCCCACATAACGTTACTATCCACTGTCAATACTTACTACAATAGGACCCATCATGTTTGTATTTCAATTTGAAATGACATAATTACAATGTTGACCAAATAATTACACAAACACTAAAGATACTTTTAATTTTACAATATGTTCCTTCTCTGAATTTAGCTGCAGCAAAGGGTCCATCAAATTCTGAACCTAAGAGGAGGCTCTGTCAAAGTAGTGCGACACATCATGAGAGGTAAGTCACTTTCTTTTCTTAAATATCGCCATTTCTCAAAGGAAATACTCTCATAACAGCAATAGGACAGTACAAACTACCATTACCTGTACTATCATGGTTCTCTTGGTGAATGAATCGATTCGTGGCGTGGTCGTTCGGAGCCGCCCATGCTTGGCTCATTGACTTTAGGTAAGCGAAGAAGCGTTTGGTTTTAACGTCAGCATCCAGCAGCAAAAGTGAACTGCAGTGAATGAGCCGCGGTCTGCTCGCTGCGGACGACAGGCTCGACTACGTCTGCAGAGCCCTGAAGCCCCGCCCCCACTACACTGTTAGCTTGTCTATTTAAAGTTTATTCATATTTACATTATAATAGTGTCGCACATCAAAATTGCACCAACACTGCACTACCTTGGGTCCCCAGCAATACGGCTGCAAAGTGTGGAGAAAATCGTATGAACTGTTGTCGAGGTATGCGAAGGACACGCAGACAATTGTTGCTCTAGGTGTCTCAATCTAACAGGAAACACTCTTTTCACTCACTGGTGGATGAACTTAGATCAATTCTATGTTGCTCTTCTTTGTTCTCGCTCATCGGCTGTCAAGGCAGGACGTTTATAGTGCGGAATTATCCTCCTCCTGGTATAACTGCTGGTATTCACGTGACATGTATGGTGAACAATTGAATGGGATTTCTCACTAAAATATGGTCAAATCTACTTCTAGAACGTGGTCATTTAGAAATGAAGGCAAGTGGCATGATGATTTTGGTGTGTGTTTGACTCCACACAGAATCATGTGGTTGTGTAGATCTGGCCTTGGCCCAAAAACACAAATCCCTCACCCCTGGGTGAAACAGGATAATATAAGAAAGATCCTGTGTGTTTCGTCAGGGCAACAATACACATAATACCTCCAGTAGCTGCTCCAAAAACAATTCATATTACTTTCAGAGAAGCATTTCTATTGACAAATGTTTTATTTATTTATTTATTTTAATCCTGTTTCCGAGTGCCTCTCGCCCTGGCAAGGAAGCAACATCTCAGGGCGAAATGTTGCTCTAATCACTGCTCTGCTGCTGTGGTTGTTGTTCGATGGTAAGCCCACGCTGTTCGCCTGCCAAAGTGGTTGTGTTAGAATGTAATGTAATGAAATGCGATGAATAATGTCACTCTTCCTTATTCTTTTAAACAAATTTTCAAGTCAGTATTTCCTGCATATGTATCCATTGCATCCCTCTTTGCATGTATACATTTGTACATTGACACTAGTAAACAGTCCTGCCTACTGGAGCAGAGGACAGAGGATATAGATGATGATGTGACACTCCTAAAGGTCGTAAAATATAAAAAGCATGTGGAAAACAAATTTCATTTAATGTATTATGGCAGCAATAAATAAACACAGTCAAATTCAGCATCTGCAATATCCAGGTAGAAGCATTTCTTGTTTTCTTCACATTCCCTGTGTACAGATGGGAAAACAGGATGCATAAATGCATCCCGCTGTGCCGACATGCATCGTAATCTAATCACATTGTCACGTTGTCACCGTGAGAGGAGACTGTCTCTCTGTCATTCATTCTTTATTTGTCCCCCGTCCCAAATATGTCCTGTCCCGCCGCATTTGGTTTTCCGTCTGGTTTTCGAAGACCCTAGCAGGTGTGTTCTTTTCTTCCCCGGCGCGACATCCATCCATCCTTCCTGTATCGTTGTCGGATAAAGCCCGAGGATGAGGCTCCGTTCACACACACACACACACAC